CCTCCTCCACATCATCATCATCATCATCATCATCATCATCATCATCATCATCATCATCATCATCATCATCATCATCATCATCAGCAGCAGCAGCAGCAGCAGCAGCATCATCATCATCATCATCATTATCATCATCATCATCATCATCATCATCATCATCATTATCATCATCATCATCATCATCAGCATCAGCATCAGCATCAGCATCAGCATCAGCATCAGCATCATCATCATCAGCATCATCAACATCATCAACATCTTCAGCAACACCATCATCATCAGATGGCGCAATCAGGGCAGGTGCCTGGTTCCATGTGGCTAGTCCAAGCCGTCGCGCCACTTCTTGGGTCAGGTCCCAAGCCGACCAAGATTTTAGCGAGGCCTTCGTGGCCACAGTCCTTTTCATGTCCGTAATATGTTCGAGACCTGGCCCCAAGTCGCCCGATTTGGAGCCCTGCTTGCGCGGCCGGGCCACTGGCAAGACGTGGTGCTGGTGTTCGACGTGCCGCGCGCAAAGTCGGCGGCAGGTGCGAAACAGGAGGCAGACCGGGCGGCGGTCCGACAGGCTGCAGCGGCGGCGCACGCAGTCAGCCCAACGCTTGGGTCTGCCCACAGTGCGGAGCCAAGACGAATTGTGGCACTAGGCACGTGTGTCGCAGCTGCGAATGTGATTGATGGGAGCAAGGATCTGTCGGCTCGTGGTGGAGCGGCATGCCACAACTGGACGCCAAGGAATGCCACGGGCTCAACCAGATGCGGCGGAAGGTCAATATCTTTGAAGCAGGAGGACACGCATCAGGCAGCGATGGTGGAGCAGGTCTGGACGTCGTTTTGCCCGTCCTTTTTGCTTTTCCCACGTGCTGTCCGGAAGAGACACGTGGGTTGAGCCCGCCCAGGACGCGGTTCGTGTTGTGAACGCTGCTTGCCTCCGCGTATTTCGCCAGATCTGCGACCGTAGACAATTCCGTGCTTGCCGAGTCAGGGGAGCTCCCCACTGGCCTTCTCCTCCCCCAGCGCCGCCTCACCGCTGCTTTCAGGATCCTGGACACCGCCCCAAGAATATTGGTGGCCCTCCCGTTTTGTCAGCCTTCTGCTTCGAAGGCTTTGGCTGAGGATTTTGCGTGGGCCTGGCACGCCGCGCCTGCCCAGAGATCTTTGCCAGACCCACCCCACGACCCGAGGCCTTGGCTTTAGTTTGTTTTGAACCCATTTGAGTGGAAGTGTGCCTTGTCAGCACTTGATCCGGGCTTCTCGCGAATGCATGCCCAGGACTTGGCCCCGGAGTTTTTTGACGCCACCGTTTCGTCTCCTCGGCCAGTGCCCCATTCGTGTTCATGCGGTGCCGTCCGGAGCGGCGTCGTTGCTGCACCAGCAACCGAGGCTTCCGTTGTCAGATGTTTCGTGCCCACGCCGTCGGCATCGACGCACGATACGGTGGGGGCGTTGGTTAGGGAATGCGCCCAGGAGGCTGCAGACCCTGGAGGATTCCTTATCTGATGAGGGCGGCGGTGATATCCCTGGCCAAGCTTCGATTGGAGTTCCACCGGCTTCCAGACCCTGGATTCCTTATCGAATGAAGGTTATTCATCCAATGCCCCCGCCGTATTATGTCAAACACTCTTCTTGCCCAATCTGCAAGAAGGTATGCTCAAGCCATCCTTCTGGCGTGCAGGGCCAAGCGCTGTAGAGACTCCCTTGCTTCACTCAGCCCCATAGCTGAGAGCACAGTTGCTCGTCTTGATCTGGCTGATCGCGACAACGCTCGTGAGATAGGGTGGATTGCTTGCCGGGGTCACGCTTAGCCCAGTACAGTTCTTGTTGGTGCGCGATCCTGTCTCGACACCCTTTGAATCGTCACAGCTCATGCTGTAACGCCTGCAATCAAACAATCGCTATCATCGTCGTCATCGTCGTCGTTGTTGCCGTCGTTGCCGTCATCGTCATTGTCAGCGTCGTCGTTGTCACTTCCTCACCATCATCATCATCACCACCATCATCATCATCATGATCCTTTTCTTCTTCGTCTCTCTCTCTCTCTCTCCTTCATCATCATCGTCCTCAGCATCTTATCATCATCCGCATCGACATCAGCATCAGCATCATCATTATCATCCCTTCTTGCTTCTTCCGATTCTGGACACCATCATGATTATCGTTCCTTCCTTCCCCTTCTACTCATCTCGCTTGCATCATACTCATTTCTACTTTCGTCACCGTCTTCCTCCCCCTCCTCCTGTTGCCTCCCTTCTTTGCCCTTTTCCCTTGCACAGGTCCTCACCGTCGAGCCAGCTGACCTGCTTTACCTTCGATCGTTGAAAACGTAAATGCGACAGCCGTGTGTGTCGGGCGGGCTCGCAATGGGGTTCGCCCCGCGGGAATTCATGTCAATCGTCGCAGCGGCAAGAAGCGTGTCTTTAGCACGAACCATCTGCGACGTAGCCGCACAGTCACCACAGCCGAGGTTGCTATCTCGCAGCAGTGGATTCGTGAACGATCCCCTGGCAAAATGGAGGATGCGGCGGGCGTTTACGCTGTGGCCGGCCTCACCTGCTTCACCGATGTCGTCAAGTCACGCGTAGATGAGAGGCGCCATTACCCATCTTGATTTTCGCGAAGTAAGAGTTTGGCGTCTCTACGGGTCACATGAAGCTGGCTATGGGTGCGCTCTCCTTCATTCGTTGGGAGGCTATGGGTGCGCTCTCCTTCATTCGTTGGGCGCTCTGGCCGCACCCGCCACGCACTCCGACAATGTTCTTCTGTGACCTACCAAAAGATGTTGATGACGAGGGGCGTCGCTTTTTTGAAAAATTGGGTGTTGAGATTTGCGTGTAGTCCGATATGCCGACGACAGTGGCAGCAGCCTCCGCCTAAGAAGTCTATGGGCGAGGAGGTGGTCGCGCAGTTTCAGCGGACCATGGCGTCGCTGAGCGAGATGCGGGAGGCGAAGCTGGAGGCCAGCGTCATGTATAGTACACGGGGCCACTGTGTGCGAGGAGGGCGAGCAGTGGCAGTGGCCTGGCGGCCTGGTGGCTGACGTGGCCTGGTGGCCCTTGAGACCCGTGCCCTGAAGGCACGCGGCGTGGCGCGCCAGCCTTCCCCGCCTGCCTCTGTCTTTTCCGCTCCTCCTCCCCCTCCTCCTTGCCCTCCACCCCCTCCTGCTCGGCTTGCTTTCCCCCCTTTGCCTTCCGGCCATCTTGATTGAAACGAGAGGTCTTGCCTTTGCCCTCTAGATCCTCTCCTCTGGCCTTGATCTAGGTCTCCTCCCGACGCTGCTCTTTCGCATCGATCTTCCCCCTCCTCTCCCTCCTCCTGCGCCGTCTTCGTCCACGCCTCGCACTTGGCGCATTATCTTCTTCTCCGCCTCAGCGCCCCACTCCCCACTGCCTCCTGATTGGTTCTCGAGCTCCTCCCTCTGCACTGCTCGTCGTCATCGATCTTCTTTCGCCAGAGATATGCCAGCAGGAGCAACAGGGGAGTCGACACAGCGTGTTGGCCCGGCCTTTGTCTTCATCCGGGCCTTTCGCGGAGCCAGCTTCCGCCTCCTCCTCCTCCTCCTCCTCTTCGTCTTCCCCTTTGTTTCTCCTCCAAGGAGGCACGTGCGAGAAAGCGAGAAGTGGCAGCGGGAGCTGCGGTCGCTCGGAGAAGCAATGCAAAACATATCCCGGCAGGCGTCCAACGACCACCCTGCACTTCCTGCCCGCGCCAGGCTGCAGGGTTCGGTGAGTCGTTGGCAGATTGTGGGGGGGCCCACCCCAGAATCCGAAGACGGGCGGCCTGAACACCGCAGCCACTGTGGCATGCAAATCGTCGACGCCGGCTCCCAAATCATTTGCGGAGCCTCGGACGCTTTCCCCTCGTGTGCTGGGAAAAAGCCCGCGGCGGCTGCAACCGTTGGCGGGATGTGCTGGAAATAGAGAAGTGAGGAGGATGGCGGAGGAGGCTTTCTCTCTTCCCTTTCCTGGAGGCGTAGCAGCGGCTTATCCTGGTCATCCTCCCTCCTGTTCCGTGCCCTCTCCTTTTATCATAGCTCTTTCTTTTCGCGCACTAGTCGTGTCGGTAGGGCGGGCCCATCGTTCATAGTCCTGGAGCTAAAAGCTGCAACAGCTTCAAGGATAAAGTGGGGAGGAATCGTTTTCAAAATGGAACCCTCACCGTAACGCCGCGCACATTCGTCTCACAAACTTGCAACGTAAATCATGCCATTATCATATTTTCATATGTCTTTTCAACATGGAACTGTTGCCCGAGCGTTGCGCACACTCGGTTTGCACATCCTGCATCAGCTTCAGGGGCGGTGGGCGGTCCTTTTGCAATATGCAACGATTTCTTTAGCGCCGCGCGCCTGCGTGTTTGAACGTGTTCGGCAACTCCGAGAATGGAGGGGGTGGGTTCGCTTTCAAAATGGAGCTGTCGCCATGGTGTCGCGCACATTCGCTGTAATCGTTTGCAACAGCTTCAAGGATGGGGAACGGTTCCTGGTACAACGACACCAATCGCTTGAGCGCTTCGCACATTCGTTTCAAACGCTTCCACCAGTTGGAAGGGGGTGGGTGGGTGGGAGTCGTATTCAAAATGAGGCTGCCGCCGTCGCGCCGAGCGGATCCGTCTCAAACGCTTGCAACACTGTCAAAGATTGGGTGTGCTGGTTCGGATCAAAACACTCGCCTTAGCGCAGCGCGCATTCTGTTTTGAAAGCTTGCAGCGGTTTCAACAATGGGGGGCGGTTCCCCTTTCAAATTGGAGCTGTCGCTATCAATTCGGCGTGCATTCGCCCCCCAAGTTTTTGCAACTGCTTCCAGGATGGAAGGCTGTCCCATGTTGAAAGCTAGCACTCGCCTTAGCACCGCGCTTTTCAAGTTTCGCAAGTTCACAGCATTTCCAAGGACGGAGGGCGGTTCTTTTCAAACCATCGCATTCGCCTTAGCACCGCGCGCATGCTGTAAGTGTGCAGCAGTTTCAAGGGCAAGGGTCCGTTTTCAAATTGGAGTTTTCGCCTTCGC